ATTAGATGTGAACATCGTGCACTTTAGAAGATCTTGCACGCAGGACTAGTCACGGGAAAAACTGAGTATACCTCTTTTGCCGAACTGGCGGACCTCGGTGATGGTCTGGAAGTGGGCCGTCGCCGACCGCAATTCCGTTTGTATCGCCTTCGGGTTTTTCATCCGAATGGTGCCCTCATTTGTAGGAACGCCACAGGAACAGATGATATGCCGTTGCGCAAGAAAACATCCACTGGCAGCTCTTGTGGAGGAATATGGACGCAAACCAGAGGAAAGCCTCTGGTCCCGGCGAAGAATAGGGCATTCTGTCTGGTCCAAACTGCACAAAAAACGCTTCTTGACCAACTATTGCATTCTAAAAACTATGAAAGCTTCATAAAATAAAGTGCTGCTCAATCCTTGGCCAAGAGCCCTCGTGAAAGCAAAAGCTTCTTCTCTTCTCAGTCTCCGCTTCTTTCGTACCCCACTTCGCTTCGTCAGGGTTGATGTTGTTGATGATGATGATGATGATGATGATGAGTCCACATCCATGGCTCGTACCCACTCGGGGGGTTGGTCTAGGTCAGGGTTCACTATGCTATCCTATCCTTCGCCATTCTTTGGAGAAGCGTGGTATCCGCTACACACTTGGTGGAAATGTTTTCCATTTTTTCTATGCAGTGGCTGACGACGATGAAGAAATATGCGTGAAGTGAGTATGCGCCACAGTTAATAGCGTATCAAGAACAAGTCTTCTAATGTGTTGGAGCATTGGGTGACCAAGTCGTTACGCAATTCGCATTGTGCGACGCCTGGCTGTTCCTTGATGTTCTAAAACGCTTATTATTCGTATTAATGCGATTCCTTTCCCGACATCTAGCCTGCCTAAGGCCAGTTTAGAAGCAAGCACTGGCGTAGGTGCCAAACAGCCGCCAGTACACGACAAAGACTCTGGGCCGGATCCCGCAGAAAGATCTGCACCTGCTTGCGCTGCTGCACCGCGGCAGCTTTTTCATTATGGCGCGGTGTCGGAAGATGATATGCAGATCTCTATGCATGCAGCAATACCGAAGCGTCACGCATCGTACAGCTCGAATTTAAGCAAAGGGAGTGACTCAGAGTCAGTGACTAGGAAGTCACGCCGTCGCCGAAAGCCCATGCCCAAAGGGAAGTGTCGCCGATACCGATCTAGGAGGCCTGGTGGGAATTCCCGGGAAGCCTCTGCGCCAGCTCTTGGGACTAATCAAGTGGGACGATAAGTGCATTAGAGGCTAGTCATTACGGAGCAGCCTGAGCGACTTATCTTTGCTACCTTGAACGTATGCGCCCTTAGGTCTTCGCAAAAACAGGCACTATAGACTTCTCAATCGGAAGTATCTCGACCTTGTCGTCATTCAAGAAACAAAGATCGAGAGCGAGGAAGAGACCGAGAAGGCCCTGCGGCCTTTTCTGTCTCAGTGTAATGTGTGTGTCTCACATGCAAAAAGTTGATCTGTGGGCTGTTGGTTGTTTCTGAGAAGACTCTACCCTGTTCAGCATCCCACACTAGTGTTGATGAAGAGGGCAGGTATATATGCTGTGATTTTTTGTTGCAAGGAGTGCCATGCGAATCATTAATCTATATGCGTTTAATGGTGTTCCGTAACGACTTAAAATATTTAAAAAAGTGCGTGATTTAATTGACGTCGACAGATGCACGGTACTTATGGGAGATTTCCACTGTGGATGTAAAGCTATTTATCGTAATGATCCTTCTGGAAAGAGAGAGAGGAGTGGCGAGCTTTTATCTGGTATTGTAGATAATGCAGGACTAATTGGCATTGAGGTCTCCAATCGGGCAACGGCATATACAAGAGTACAGGGCAGTTGTCACGCTCGCCTTGACCGGATTTACATGTCCTCATCACTCCTCCCTCGTAAAATGTCCTGCAGCACTGAAGCTGTATCGTTCTCAGACCATTGTATTCTTATTGTGCAAATTGGTGAAAATAGTCACAAACCATTCCGTCCCCAGTGGGCCTTTTGGAAAATGAATGCGAAGCTCCTCTGTGATCAGGAATTGATGAATCATGTCCAGATAGCAATGAGGCAATCCTTTTCGATTGGTTTGCATATCTTCGCTGCTTGGGAGCTTTTTAAACAAGCAATTGGTGCTGTAGCTTCAGAAATTGGGGCTGTTTAGTCTATAGAAATGTGATGAAAAGATACTTCTTAAAAGTCTTTGCAATATTTATGAGATGGAATGCGAAATGCCGGGAAAGTACATCAAAGACATGAGAATATTAAGTGCCAACTACAGAGATATGATGCTGCTCGCTACCATGGGGCACGTATTACATTTCGGAACCAGCGCACCTTAAAGCCTGAGCAACCGACGAGTCAAGCTTTACTTGATGAGCAGTGCCATGCGATTTCTAAAGTTATTCCGGACTTGTACTCTAACGGCGTGCTCATGAAAGATACTAGAGACATTACTTTGGCGTTCGAAAAGTACTATAACAGTTTATTTAGCTCTCCATCTGATGATCCTGACGTTCACCTCGAGGCTAGTTTTGTTTCTCTTGTGAACCCCATGAAGGACAATGATTGTGCAGACATTAATGGACCAATTACTATACAAGAAATCGAGCAGGCAATCGACAACTTGCCTTTATTGAAAACACCTGACCCTGATATTATATCAAGTAAATTTTACAAAGTTTTCAAGAAAACGCTTGCTCTTATAATGCTGAATATTTTTCAAATAAGTTATGTCATAGGTACACTCCCACAGTCCTTTTGCAAAAGCCACACTGCGTTAATACCGAAAACAACTGAAAAGGAAAAACTTCTCTTCATCGAGGGCTACAGATCAATACCACTGTCAGACGTGGACTACAAAATTTTCGCGAAAGTATAATCAAATAGGCTGCAATTTGCTATGTCGATCCTCGTTGGGTCTCATCAGGCATGTGGAATCAGTGGTCGATCCACACAAACCGATATGCATGTCGTTCGTACAGTGCTTCTTCTTCGAACGCCCATGCTTGTGGGGATTCATGCAGAAAGTTTGAACTTTCTGCATGAACTTTCTGTTTGAACTTTCTCAATTATTTGAACTTCCTTATATATATTCTCTGGTAATCTGCCGACACACACACAAGCAGATATATGAAAAAGGCGAGCAAATGTCACGTTCCCCTTGATCTTGAGTATCTGCTGGCACATTTCTTAAAACACCCAAAAAATACTACAACCCTTTTGTACTGCAATAGTGCGCCAGCAAGCTCGATATGCGAAGCATCCCTCGACAACAGATTGATCTGAAAGCGTGCAGCTGACAATGAGTGCATGAAATAATGTGTTTCATAAACAAGAAGAGCCATTGATTTGTTAGTGTAACCTAAAAGTGGTTTGCATCTCATTTTTGTACCGTGGAACTGCAAACCGACGCGCGCAACGCACGTATTCTATCGCGGTCTATGGCGGTTCCGCCCTGTTTTTCCTCTAGCAATATGGCCGCTGGCGCCTTCACTTGCTCCCGTTGGCGGCGGACGGGACTGCCACTCGAGAGGTTCTATAGAGCTTCCTTGCGCCAGCCCCGCCGCTTTCACACACTGTGCTCGATTGGTTAGCGCGCTCCGAATCACGAAGAAGCACGCCAAAGTGCGCTCGGGTGCGACACCTGCAGCGAAGTGCTTCGGAGCTAAACTTGACCACGATTTCCGCCGACTGCCTTAGGGGGCCCGACCAACTAGTAACGTTGGGCCCGACCAACGGGCCCGACAGTGCGGCGGTGACGGTGTGGCCGTTTGGCGGCAGTAGAAACGAGTCGGGGAAAAAGCCAGAAGCACAGGTAATTGTGGTCTTTCCGGAAGTGACACTAGGCGCACGCTCTCATGCACCATCTCGAAGTCAAAGCGCGGAGAGCGCGTTCCGTTATTACGCACCGGAAGTTGCTTTTTAACCGTTAGGTTGATAGGAGCGCACTTCGCCGGCTAGAGCGCGCTCGAGCTGCTCAAATTAACGTGCCCATTGATACAATAAACATGGTACAAGATTGGTGGCGCTATCTAGTAAATAAAACTGCAAACGCTTTTTTTTTTGTGCGCAGCAAATGACATAAATTACCATCGTGTTTTTCTTAAAAATAATTTATATGAACACCACATAATTTTATTTTGTTTATAACACGGGAGCGCGCTAGTTTAGGATTTACACTGCAATAGTTTGAATATTATCTATTCACATATTTGGCGCGTCTTTCAAGTAATGTAATGACAACAGCGACAACGTTTCAAGATGTCAGTGTTTTGGTGCATTCCTCCATTGTTTAGTGGTTGTAGCTTTTCCGGCCCAGCTTTTCCTCTAGAGTCTGTGTACTAACTCTATGTCTATGGCAGGTTCCTTGCGAGAATCTGAGACGAGCTCATACGGCGAAATGTGACGACTCGTTGGTTTCGCTTGATGCATGGCCGCGGAGAGAGAGAGAGAGAGAGAGAAAGAGAGAGAGAGAGAAAGAGAGAAAGAGAGAGAGAAAAGTTTTTTTTAATTTGCGTGACTACGCTTTTAATATTTCAAACAACGCGCCAGCGATTGTGTGTTGCGTTTGGCCTCCATGATTGTGGCGGTGGATCAGCTGACCCATGGGTTGACAATCTCAGATGCCATAAACCGCGTGGTTCACACGGTTCACACAACACAGGGTTCATGTTCAAAAGATGTTACAAATGGGACAAACAATCGTTTCCCCAGTTTTTGCCTTCCTGATGGTTTGTTTCTCGTTAATGTATTCTCTTTTTTTATGACAATTTTAAATTTGGCGCGTGCAGTCAGCTACGTTTACAGTCATGTTTACAGCCGCCTAGCTTTTGAGATATGTTTACTTACAACCACGAGAATGTTTAAATGGGGCTAAAAAGTTGTGGAACTTGAAAAAGTATAAAACAGCATAAATGGGAAATATTTGACATGGAGGATGCTGCAGCGCGCGCAGCTGGCTTGGTTGTAGCGCCAGCCTCGGCAACCTTGTGCAACGAACACCCATGGGATCACCAGTCCAGTTATTCCGCGCAATCGTGCCTAGCTCGAACTGACGGTGTAAGTTTCGTCTTTGTGATTCGAGACCTATGTTCGAGATGACTTGCTGCGCATTTCGCCTCGGGTCCGTTCCTTCCTCGCCACCTCCTCCAGCTAGGCGGCAATGAAGAAGAGGATAACGATTCCGCAATGGTTGACGCTTGGCGCCTCGTTCGGCGTGGCGGCTCCACTTACGCTAAAAGCGAGATAGTTTTGGACTGCGAGAACGTCGTGATTGGTCGCAATGTTCAGCCCAAGTATCGGCTTGACAGCGTCAACATCAGTCGTCAGCACGCTTGCCTGAAGTACTCTAGCGGAAACGGACAATGGGACATCACCGATCTTCGGAGCCATAACGGCGTGTTTGTCAACGGCAAAAAAATACCAGCGTCTCATCCATTTGCGCTTCACGAAGGCGATGTTATTGGTTTCGGAAAGCCTGCGCCGAGTGGTGATGATGTGTTCGTGTTCACGTTGACGAAATGCGAGGGTGTCGCAGTCAAGAGCGAACTGCCTGATCCGCCGCGTGCAGTGCCCCCTGCTTCGGACGTCCTCTTGTCAAGTGACGATGACGATATTGTCGTCACGAAAATGGTCATTGCCAAGCGACGGCCGACTGTGTCAACGAGCTCGGACTGTGTATTTTTCACGAACGCTTCTTTGTCAACGACCCTTCCTGCTGCTCCTCTTCCTGTCGAGACCAAAAAGGAACCATTTGTGGAGGATGACAGCCTTAGTTACGGTGCTTCATCGGCTTCCACAAGTCGGGCTGTTGGTGCCGCCCACACCAGCGTTGCAGCAACGGCCAACACGAGCTTCAAGACCAGTCCTCGTCATCAAGTTCTAAGGACCGCATTCGCATCTTCTTCCAAAACTGTACCGTCTGAAGCTGTGGGGAGAGTGAAAATTGAACGGGACTGTGACTCCACTGACTCTCGATCGTCCTGTAGCCGCGACACGCAGTGTAGCAGGCTATCAGTGCCAGTGGCCTTGACCGCTGATACCAGAAACTCACCTACAGCAACCCTGCCAGCACTTTCTCCTCATGCTCCTCATACTTTCATTAAACAGGAGGTGCCCGAACACACAGTTGGCATTGAAAGTTTTCCCACATGTGAACCAGCACACGTGGCAAGGTATATCAAGCAAGAGCCAGATGACTTGGGCAGAGTGCAAGCCCACAATGTGCAGAGAACGATAGTGACAAGTGCTCACCAAAGTGCATTTTGCAGTGATGTACCCCGACAGGACATTGTCAGTAGTGGATCCAAAAGGACAGAGCTTCCAAGCACTGTCTCAAGAGCAAATGAAGCAAACTGCTGTGAGAGGACGCCTTCCACTCGCTGCCCCGAACGTAGTCCACAACACGTTTTAAACCAGAGTGATCCTGATGTACATGCCAAGAGAAATGAAAGCACTTCTGGACATTCATTAGCACCAAAAACATATTTCAGCAGCATTACTGTGAAAGAAGAACCTACCGAAGCTGATGGGTATTGTAACATGAGGCAAAGCACAATGGATAGCCATGTGCTGGTGAATGGGTCTATTCCTCCTGGAAATATTGAAAAAGCTGTGCAGAGCTCCTATACACTGGGTTCCTTAAAAGCTATTGATCCTGAGCATAGCAGTTTGTTTCAACATGAAAACAAGAGTGAAAGATGCTCCAACTCAAAGTTTGTGCCATGTCAGAAAAGGTCACATTCCCCTAAAGGCAGCGGTTTGCTAAGCACTCCCAAATTAGATCTATGCCTGTTGGTTAAGCCATGCAGGGTTGTTGTTGAGAAATCGGAAGACAGCTGTCTTGCTCAGCAACAATCAGTTGCTCCTATAAAGGATCAGCATCTTACTGAAAGTAGGGTGAACACAGAACAAAATCATGATTATGTTGAAGCAGAACTTCCTTATGACAGTGTAAACACTACTAATGAAGGCAGCCCTTGCGATTTGTCGTTTTCTCAGAACGATGTAATAATAATTCTCTCCGACTCGGATGATGATTGTTCAGTAGATATAAATCTTGAGATCAAGAAAGAAGCCGAGGAAGCAGAAGAGATGATTAGCAATGATGCTGATGTTGAGGCTGGCATTCCATGGATGAATGATTGCTTGAATGACTTTGTTGAAGAAACAAAAGCTGTATGTTCAATAGCTGAAGATGGGGATCTTGAGAAGAGACTTGTTTGGAATGAGTCGGAGCCTGAGCAAGCTACAGTGGATAAGGAGCAACCAGAAAATGATTTCTTTCCTGTGCTGTCTCAAGGCTTCTCGCAGGAGGAGGCTGATCCACCAGAGATTAAGGAGAGAAGCAGTTCTGCAGATGTATTCTACTCATCATCATTCTGTCACTCTGCTCGTTCAGGAGGCAGAGAAAAAATCCAAGCGAAAATCCCAAAAAAAGCCCCAAGAAAAAATCGAGCTTGAAAGAGAAGGTCATGAAGTCTATGAATCACAGAGTACCAATGGCCGGAGGTGGGTCAGCAGTCCAGAAGAAAGGTGGTGAAATGCTGCCAAAGTCTAGTTCTCTTGCTGAGCGTGAAGATAGTTCGAAGAAGCCCCGCTACAAGGGCAGGTTCCAGTCCCGCTGGGCTCATCTGCTAAGTACAGAAGAGCCGTCTAAGCCTGCGGCAACGGCATCAAAAAGGCACCAAGGAAGAACGATTAAACTTCTTACTGACATAGAAAGAGCCCCAAAGAAAGCAAAAGGTGTCACTTCCTTAGGTAGTCCCACCAAAAGAGCCAAGCTATCGAGCCCATCTCGTGGTATTATACAGCGCCCAGCGAAAGAGCAAGCTTCAAAGTCATCCGATGTTTCGGCCAAAGCGGCGAATCAATCAAACCAATATTCGTTTGTTGCTCAGCCACTTCACGACAAAGCTCATGAGCCAAGCTTGTTCTCCAGTGAACAAGAAAACCAGCGGTGTCCATCTTTAAATGCTATGGATATACTTCCACAGCAGGAAAAGGCCCCCATGCCAGATCCTATTCGTGGTGAAACTGAAATTTTATTCAAGCCTTCTGTGGAAGATCGTGCACCAGACCCTAGAGCAGAGTCATCAGTACAGCAAGAAGTGGGCTTTTCCGTTCCAAGGTTCAAGCAAGCTGTTCGAGTTTCTAGGGTGGCGAAGGGCTCGCCACCGTATGCTGCCACTTTTGGGGACTTCCCTATAAATACGCAACTGCCTGGAATTGTACCTCAGACTTCTGGGCCCATGAACACCTCCGTGCCCATGGATACTTCTGAGCACGTGGATCAATCTCCTGAACCTATGGACATAGACGAACCTGAAGGGAGGTCACGTGTGCACTTTCACATAGAAGAACCAAGTAGCCGAACGGATGAGCAAAGAGCTGAGTTCGCACAACGTGCTAGGGCATCACTAAAGCAGAAGAGGCTAGAACATTGCCAGAGGAAGAAGAAAACCTTGGAAGACTTCATTTCTAACATCCTCAACTGGAAAGTTCAGTGGCTAAAAGAGCAGTTGCATTCATCAGTGCTTCCACCTCTGCTGGACATGGACAAGGTCCGAGCGAAACGCTTGATGTACAGTAGCATAGAAGAATACAAGCTATTTAACTATAATTTTCTGTGCCTCGAAGTTTGGCATATTGTCTTTCGCAACTGGCGAGAATATTTTGCACAAACCAAACGCATGACATTCAGTTCCGCAGTTGTGCATCACTCGTGCCCTCCTGGTGACACCATGACATTGACTTGTGTTGTTTTAGTGACGCCAGAGCAGATACACAAATCTTTGTACCCTTCTGAGGGCAACCTTGTCCGCTTGGACTTGCGCATTCAAGATCAGCCAAAAGCTGCGATGCCAGTGTTTGGATTTGTAGTTCAACATAAGGTTGTGAGGGACCCTCGTTTATTTAAAAGTGCCATACCAGATTTGCTGCAAAATATGAACACTGATGGGTGCACTCCTGTCACGGTGAAAATTCGTGTGAGGGCAAGGCCTGTGAGTCTGGACTTTGGTAAAGTTCAGCGTTTGTCGGTAGTAAGCAAGATCACTCCTACTTTGCGGCAAATGGAGGCAGTGCTAGAGCTTGAAAAATCGGTGTTCGCTGAGAGCATCGTCAGGCCTAATGTGTGCCACTTCTGGTGTCGGAAGGGAGTTCCTATGCTTTCCACGTTTAAAGAAAACTTCAACATTGAACAAGAGCAAGTGATCAGTTCTGCTGTTGGTGCTGTGAGAGCGCATGGAAAGGAACCTAGAATTATAATCTTACATGGCCCGCCTGGTACAGGCAAAACGCACACACTTGTTGGTATGGTGACAGAGATCCTTCATCATAACAGCAAACAGACCATGCTGATTGTGGCTCCATCCAATGCGGCAGTTGACGAGATTGGTCGTCGTCTTTTGGCTCATCGACAGCAGCAGTATAGGCAGAAAGTTCCAGCAGAACAAGTACTGAAGGTGGTCCGAGTAGGCCAAACCAACAAGGTACACCAAGAGGTTCGTGGAATATGTCTTGAAGAGCTGGTGCAAAAGAACATTCAGAAGGAAGAGAATGAACGTTGCAGAGAGTATGACCTGATCATTTGTGCTTTAGAGAAAGATATGAAACAGTGTGTTGACAAAGTGCGCCAGCTTGAGGGGTCTGCTACTCGGGATGTGAAGGCTTCTAGACGTCTTGAGTTTCAGATGAATCACTTGCGGGCTCAGATTCAGCAGACTAAGGAGGCCAGGAAGAAGTTCACAACTGACAGCAGTGCCCGGCAGTTCCGCAAGTTTAATGACAGGCATCTTCTGATTCTACGCAATGCACATGTCATTCTTTCCACTCTGAACAGCTGCCGTAGCCGTCTGATGGAAGAAGCATTTGGCCGCATGCAGTTCTCATAAATTCTCGTGTGTTCTTCTTGATGAAGCAACTCAGTGCACCGAAGCTGAAGCTCTCCTCAGTGTGCAGTATCAGACAAGTAGGCTGATTCTTGTCGGGGATCCTATGCAGCTGCCCGCTACCGTCATCTCACAGGACGCTGCAGATTATGGGTTCCAGGAATCGCTCTTTGAGCGCTTTTACAAGTACCTCAGTCAAGAAGTGATCCCAAACCCATTTTCACATTGAATGAGCAGAGACGGATGCATTCAGAGATTTGTTGGTTCCCGTCGAATTACTTTTATGGGGGTAAACTTCGACCAGTTGTTGGCCTGGACGCCAGTTATGCGTTGTTCCCATTGATTCCATACCTGGTGTTCAACATTGAGGACAGCCATGAGGTTAGCGAGGGCACTGGGACGTCATGGCTAAACCGCGGTGAAGCTGCCTTTGTTGCCCATCTTTGCTTGGCTATTTCCCAGCTACTTGGGGATGCCTCACTTGGTGTTATCACGCCGTACCAGGCACAGAAGGCTGCCATCACAGAGCAGCTTCGAGAGTGCTTTGCGCCACAGGCAGCAACTTTTGACGTAAATACTGTAGATGGTTTTCAAGGCCAGGAAAGAGATGTCATTGTGCTGTCCTGTGTGCGCGCTTACAACCCTAGAGGTAGCATTGGCTTTGTTGCTGATGCCCGCAGACTAAATGTTGCCATCACAAGAGCGAGGAAAGCTTTGTATATCTGTGGGCATCTGGAGTCTCTCAAGGACAGCGATGAGTGGAAGGCATTGATTTCCGATGCTTATTGTCGCTCCAAAGTGAGAGATATCTCGGCTAAATGCTCTTCTAACGTTCTCGCGGACATTATCAAGAAACCATGTTCAAATTGATGGCGACCAAGTTGAGGATTTCATCACTTGTGCATTTTTTGTTTATAAAGATTGTGTGTTTGCCTTTATGCTGTGCAATGTGTATGTAAGCACTGACATTTTGTGTTTTTATGTAGGCCAGTCAAGGTCTTCAAAGAGTGCATACACAGGTTACATTTTTCGATTTTAGTGGTTTGATTTATTGTGCTTGAAATCTTCCCCTCATTTCTGACATGGCTTTCTGACATTTGCACAGGCTGTGTCTCTTCACGATTGTGTTGTCCATCTATATAACTGACATTATTGCATTTGGCGAAGACTTCGAAAAGTATTCAAGCCACGTCTGAAAATGCAAAAGACCATGTAGCTGGTTTTCGTGATATGGGTGTCGCATTTTTCCCAAGTCAGAATGCAGAGTTTGCTATATTTGTACATTAATGCCCATCGAAATGAAAGTTTGAATTTTCACTGTTGTTGTGGTCAGTGTTATTTGTTTCCTTGCAAGCCTTGATGGCTCAGATTCTTGACACATCACAATCACATGAAGGGTGTGTTCAAGGTTGTACAACACGCTGTGCACAACTATATAATTGTGGTTTTACTTCATTACATTACCCACGATTTATTTGTGGAGCTTCTGTCGATTAAGTGATTGAAGAGTATTGGAATGCAGGCTTATATTAAGGGTTAAGAGTGCTCTAGCCAAAACCAACCACTCGCTCTTTCTCCTTTCCCTCCCTCAAAAAGAAAAAGAAGATGAATGCAAAAATACTGCCTATTTCTGCAAAACTGACTTTAAAATGAACAACAGACAGAAAAACTTGGTAAATTTAGGTGGAAAAAGTATTTTTTAATCGCTCTTATTTGTTAAGGAGCATATAAAGAAGCTTAAGCCCTGCGTTTATTTACGGAGTTTTGTGCTAGGACGTAGGCACTATGTGTCTGCGTAATATTATGAACATATCTCGTATTGGTACTATTCTGATACAGGCAAAGTTCTTGAACACGCTTGCTTCAACACTTGATTATTTTATAATGCTGTATGGCTCTGCAATACCAGTAAATTCCAAACGTGTATATATTGTTAAACTTTCATGGCTGACTACTTTCACAGCCATGCTGTGATTTATCATTCATTTTTGCATTACCTTTCCTCACTTCGTAAGCCTCCCTCCCAGGGGTGAAAAGTAGCCGTTATGATAGCTCAGAAATGTGAGTCGATAGTGCAGTTTGTCGGGTATCTTCAGATTACCATAAATCGGCTCATATGATTGAAAATATTGTGTTGGGTTTTAGTACATCAAGCATGTATCCATGTATCAACACTTTACTGTGCTGAAAGCATAAAGAGTAAAATCTTGTTAATACAGAGTACCAAATTAGCCTATCCATACAATAATTAGTGTCGAATTTACGCCTCTTAAGTACAGGCCTTCAAACAAAAAAAATGTGATAACATGGTAGTGTAGTGTAAAATACAATCCAAAAGATTTTATGCCTGCTAATGATACTAAGTATTTGATGTAGCCTCAACGGGCACTAAAGACAAATATTAAGTTGACGTTGATAGTTGAAATAGCTGATCCAGAAACCTCATAGTGCTGCTTCTGTGCCATGAAAGTGCTTATTTTGAAATAAAATAACGTTTAGTGGTCTGCATCGCATTAGCGCACTAAGTCGCCCACCGGAAAGTGATATTTCTAACGTCACTGTTGCCATGCCCAACATTACTTGCCTCTATTGCGTGGCAGTTGACACTAGTAGCAGCAGAGCAGAAGTAGATAGAACCACTAGCAGCAACCCCGACCACCGAACAATTTTCTGCGTGTTTGGTTCAAATGGGCCCCACTAGATGGCACCACCTGTCTAGTCTAACCAGATGAAAATAGCACTTTTGAACCACTTGCACCATTCCCTATAGTAACACCAGGCGGTTCTTTTTTCTATAAATCTAACAGAAACGAACGAGCAAAGTATTATTACGTTTCTTAATGCACGGAAGGCTCTTTCTATATTGCAGCTAACTTGATTACTAGTGACATTAGGACGCTCTCACGTCATGGGGATCATCTTACAAATTTCGCACTCGTGACACATGTCGTGTGATACATTTGCTTAATTTCTCGGTAAGTAGGGCACTGCTGCTGATAATATTGCAGTTTTAGACTTCATACATTGAGCTTTCAGTCTCACATAAATGGATATTTTCTTTTAGTGTTCCTTCAAGTCGAGCTTGTTTGAAAATCCCTTTCACCTGATTCGAGATAACTTCATCTAAAAAGCTGGGGAGGAGCAAAGCATGTAGGGAGAGGTGTTTCAGCTGGGGAAAGACAACACCTGGGGAAGGGCAAAGCATGAAATTTTTTTGATAAGGAAGTAGTGGTACCAAGCCCGAAATGGGCGTTTAGTTTTTCCACTGCACTAAGGTCATACAAAAAACTGCGTTGAAATGCAGTTTACCCTAAGATGCTGCTGCTTCTTCCATATGTATCCGGTTTCACTTCCTTGCAGCATATAGGGAAAGGTGTTTCCGTTCACCTGATGTCATGGGAAAACTGAATCGGAATGCAGCTTACCTCAAGTGGTGCTTCTTCCCTGCATGCCCAGTTTGAGTTCCTTAAGGCATGTAGCTGAAGGCTGTTTCAGTTAACGTTGCTGGCTATTGATTCGGTTAACCGCTGCCTTCTTCATTTTCAGTGGACCTGTGATGAGTATTGCGATTTATACACAATCTTTGTGATGCATACCTGTCTCGCGGTGGACCATCACTATGTGACGCACCATTGACGACATGACACGCCGACAAGGGATTGTGCTCACCTGTTGTGCTGCACGTCCTTCATCTTTTGGTGGTTCTTGTTTGGAAGTGAAGTCCTCGATCCACACCCTGGAGTAATCGATAGACCTCTGAGCACCCTCCAAAGTGATGGATGACATACCTTGGTGGTTCTTGCTCATGGGTGAAGTTGTTTATCCACATTTTAGAGTAATCGGCAGACCGACCTATGTGCACTTTCAGAAATTATGAATTATGTCCTTAGTCCTTTGGTAATTTCTGTTCCTGAGTGAAGTCCTCGATTCACATCCCAGTAGCTATGAATATATCTCTGTGCACCTCCTAAAATGATGGATCACGTCCTGTGCTGTTTCTTGTTCATGGGCGAAGTTTATGTTTTGTAGTAACTGGTTGACTTATTTGCACTTTTCGAAACGATGGATGATGTCCTTCATTTTGTGCTGGGTCCTGGTCATGGGTGGAGTTCTTGATCCACATACTGGAGTACTTTAAAGACTTGTGTGCACTTCTCTGAATAATGAATATTGTTCTTTGGTGGTTCCTTTTCATAAGAGAAGTAATCGATTCACATACTGCAGTAATCAGTCGACCTATGTGAATTTCCCAAAATGATGGTGTCCTTCGCTGGTTCCTGCTCATTGGTGAAGTTTTCTATCCATATACTGGAGTAATATGTAGACCTCTGTGCACTTTTTGAAATGACTAATAATGTACTTGAGGGGTTCCTATTGATTGGTGAAGTCCTTGATCCACGTCCTGCAGTGATTGGCTGACCATTCTGCATTTCCCAAAATGATGGATAATGTACTTTGGTGATTCCCGCTAAAATGTAAGTCTACAATCTACATTACGGAGTAATCGATATACCTCCACACGTTCTCCATAACAATGGACAGTGTCCTCACGTGGCCTATCATGGCATCAGCTAAAATGTGACTTAGCCTCTATAAAAAAAAAAGGTTTTGTGGAACCAACTTGGGTTGTTGTCATGCTTGTGTGGAAAAATTGTTGGATGGAGATTCAATGAAGATAATGTTAATGCAGTAGCAGCTGGCAGCCTGTATCAGCAAACATTTTCCACAATTTTGGGAACATTGTTCATCACTAGCCAATTCAGCCAATGCTAATTGATGCTGTTCATATGCTAATAAATGTGCTGGGACAGGAGTTCATTTATTACAGTTTGCTATTCTCAATTGAGAAGTCAGGGGGTGGGAGTCATTATGCATCAATGGTTGTGCACTCCAGACTGATAAAGAGAGCCGGACGGCTGGGGACCCCACCTTAGGAGAACATTGCCTAGTGCTTGTGCAAGACTATTTCTTTAGTTGCAGAGGCTGCAGCACCTATGTTGTCTGAGGAGAGCCTCTCTGGACGTCGTAAGTTATATTTGTCTAAAAGTTCTGTCGAAGCTGGGTTATGGACCAGTTGCTGTTTCACTTTGGGCATTACTGTGTTTTAAAAGCAAGTATGCATTTTTGTATGATGTGCATGTGACCAAGTACCAAATGCTTCTTGTGCGATATGGGTACTCCTCTTTTCGCGTTAGTAGCTTTAATTTTTTTTTTTGTGGCATTCTTGCCTCCTGTACTTGCATTCTGTCACGGAAGAGTGGCACCACGTTCAGTTATGCAAGAGTGATGGATAGTGACTGTCTGCGTCCGTGCTGTGATATGTGCTGTCTTTCTCTCTTTCCACTCTATCTTTCAGTCTCTCCCTTCCTGTTCTCATGTGTAGGTTAGCTAACGAGTTGTCCAAAAGTGGTCAACCTGCCTGCCTTTCCTTCTCTACTATGAGTTTATCTCTTTGGAGATAGTGGCTTATTGTTGTGATTATGTATAAGCCTGCTCATTTGTTATGAATTGCCATATGCAGTTCAGAGCAGATAAAAACTAGTAACATTCATGCTTCATTTTTTGGCGCATTTAGTTTCAGCAGGAAAGAGTCAGTGAAAGGTAGTTTTCCTGCAAGCTAAAACAATTCTGTTCTGGAAAAAAAAGGGAAGTGGGAGGACACTATTACCAGCCACCACTTGCTCCAGTGCTAGAGGTCTTTCAAGGTTGCGACCACACATGTCGGTGTGTCAGCCACGCTGTCTTCAAACTTTTATTACATCTGTTACTTTGAAACCAGCCAAACAGTTGCTTACTCTGCCACCAGCTTGTTTCGCAGAAGCAAGAGGACTGGAGCAGGCAGGGTGCAGCCATGAAACCCTTGCCCGAGTCCTTGCAGCCGTCATGCTGCAGCCACTATGTGGATGAATTGGGAGTCTGCTGACTGTAATTTTTTTCTTCCGCATTTTTTCTTGAATTTTGTTTCTGCATCATGTTGTGAATCAAGTTTGGTTCTATTTAATTGATTCATTTGTAATATGTTGCATTCCACAGCAACTCTGGTGTCGTCACAGGTACTACTTGAAGATCTATGAAATAGTTTATATTTAATTTCTTCAAAGAGAGTTGTGGATACCATGATCTACTTTGCACTTTTGCTGTTTGCTACTGGTGCGATGCATCTGCCCATCTATTATTACACCTACTATGCTTGCTCCTACACGTTCAATACATTGATCCAGACTGTCCATGCACGAGCTCCATCTATCACGAGCCACGATGATGGTTGAAAGCCATGTGAAGCTTGGGCATGCGCAACGGACTCGGAGCATTGGTGCTGTAA